GCCTGATAAAGCAGTGTTTGTGAGCGCAGTGCTGCTTTGTGTACAGCGTTGCCGGGGAAACTGCTATTTTTACAGCTCCAAAAGTGGCACCTAGTGGCAAAGAATGAATTTGCATTTTCATTCAGACCAACGCGAAAAGACCAACAAGAGGGCGGGCAATATATTAATGTTTCATGTTGACGTCAAAATTAAACGGCTTGTGATTCGTTTTAAAAACGACTCGTTTCAATGATTCAGAGTCGACTCTTTCTTTTGAGAGACAGTAACTTTATACACGGTGCACTTTCAGATTTAAAACTTGGCAGGATGTTTTCATTCACTTAGAGCTGTGTTACACACTGCATGAAAGGTAGTTTTCAAAAATCCATAATAGGGGCACTTTAATATATTTAAAAATGTAATTTATTCCTTAAAAATGTAATTTATTCCTGTAATGGCAAAACTGAATTTTCAGCAGTCTTTTGTGTCAAAGAAATCATTCAAAAATGTTTTTTTTTTTTGGTGCTCTAGGAACATTTATTGTTATCATCATTGCTAAAAACAATGCTGCTTAATATTTTTGTGGATTATTTGATGAATAAAAAGTACAAAATAACAGCATTTGCATTTGCCCTGTCTGCTATTTTTTCTGTTTGCTGAATTTTCTGCTATTTCCATTGTAATTTAGAGATTTGCTGTTGTTGTTTTTTTTGCCTTGTTTTATAATTTTTCGCCCTCTGTTGCCCTCTTGCTCTAATTTCAAAGAGAAACAGAGCAATACATTATTAATGTTATAAAAGGAAGTCATGTTACCGTTGGCGTGATGCTCCCTTCCTGTTCAGAACCGTTTATTCCCCATCCCCGCCGCCTGTCCAAAGGAACAAACTGAAGTGATGTGCTAGAGACAAAACAAACCAACACAAAACACATTAATGTTTAAATACAGCTATACGAATACAAAACAATAGGCCAATCTTACAATTAACAAACAACATAAACATCAGTGTGGTATTCATAACCATCACAAACATGTAAATGAGAAGACAATTGTGCACAGGGGGTCGTGAAGGCAGGAAATAAAGATCAGGTGACCTGAGGAAGAGCAGTGTCAAGACAAACACAATCTCTTTGCTGAAGACGTAGGACACAGACGGAAGTGGTTGAGAAGAATAACATAGTTGCAGAGGATCAGTTTTGAGTAATTGTGGTTCGTAAATATGAATTTATCATAATGCTCACCTGGGTTCTGTCATGGTGCGTATGAGGGGAACGTGAAATGGACATTCAGAAATCGTGGACAGACCTCGTAGGTCTAAAGGTGGCGGTCGAGCTGTGGAAGCAAACGCAAAGCAGAACACTCAGTCACTCCTTATCTTTTTCTCTTTTGTACACAACACAAACACACTTTCACTTTTAATGAGGCATTTCCTTTGTGTGGAGGTGCATGACCTGTAGAAACCCTGCGCCTCCACTCAAGACACAATGCTGTCTAAGGTTCCTGTTCTGTGTCTCTGACAGTATATGCACTTCCTCTCTTGTGCTTTTGTCTTGGCAAATTCTCAGTTTAAAAATAATTTAAATTTAAAAGTCACAAAGAATCTCTTAAAGAAGTGCACCTATTCAGAATGAAATATGTCTCGGAATACCTAAGAAGTGACATACTGTAATCTTGTCGACTGTCTTATATTTATATCATCCCCGACAGCACACCTACGGAGACGTCTATTTGACGTCTGCATTTATATCTGCAAGATGTATTTTTTAGTGTTTGCTCATCTGCAATACGTCTATAGGACGTTTCCTATTAGATGTCAAATAGACGTTTAGACAATGTATTTATTCTTGCAGACGTAAAGTTTCGCAATACTGTATAACACGAGCAAGAGTGCCCCGAATATCTGCACGATTGCAAATGCGATAGTGATTTTATACAACAGTTCAGTAAACAAGACGTTAGTATTGTGTTATTTTAAACAAAATGTCGTCAGTATTCTCTGTTCCAAACAAAGCCACCACAGCAGAACTCGTGGGCCTTTCCGAGCCACACACACACACAGCGGTGTTTTTCGTTGCTAAATGAATCCACGTTTATGAATGAATCAAGTGAGCCAATGATTCAGTGACTTGCTTTGTCTCTGAATGAATCAGTCGCTTGAACGAATCGGTTGAATCGGACTGAATGACTTACTGACTTGTCGGCGCCTCATTGCGGATATTTTCATATTTACAGTAGCCTATCAGTTCATTAAAAAAAAGAGTATATCAATAAAAAAAAAAACCTATTAATGTCCTATTAATGTGTACATCTTAATGTCACTGGAGATACAGCTTCTAAAAACAACGTTATGGTCAAATTGTAGCCTTGAACGTTTATGGGTAATACATTATAGTTTGAATAAAAATATTTATTTATAGGGCTATTTTTTGTAATCTCTATTCAGTGCTTTTCTCATTTAACACATTAATGACTTTTATCTTTTTCTCAGCCCATGTGTGCCGGTTACAGTTCGCATTACTTTTAGAAGCGAGTCATTATCATTCAACAAATTAGAATCAACTAATTCGTTCAAACACGCTGATTCATTCAGCAACGAAACAATGAGTGAGTTATTTAATTGATTGTTACCTCAAGAAGCTAATTGTTCAAAAACAATGATTAATTCAAGAACGGCACTACTGTGTGATGCTTGGAGGAATCCACGCGATGGGGATTTTCGCGTGAGTATCTGCAAAGTATGTACCAATATTAAAAATAAAATTATTTGATTTTCTTTTTAATTTACACAGTCCCTGGCACACAATGTTAGAATTCGACATTTATTATTCTATACAATATCGAGGCAAGACTGCCAATAAACATCAGTGAATTTAGAGCTTAAAAAAGAAACGTGGTTTCTGTGTGACACACAGAACATGATCATGAGCTTTGCTGCATCTCATCTTCCTCATTTTAATTTTCAACATTTCGTCACTCTTCTGTACCTCTCCTCACATGAGATAATCTATTCCATTTCTTTATTTTCGTTTTCTGACGTAGCTAACTAATATTTCCAGTTATGTTCCAGTTACTGGAATTGCTTCATGACAGCAGTTATAGCTAACACAGCACACCAATATCACATTGCTCTGTTGTGCAAATACCTTAAAAAACTAAAAAACAAACAAAAACAAAGAATTCTGAAATAGCACATCCTGTCTTTGAGCTAGACATTAGTCACTTGCACAATATATTCAACATGTGGTAAAATTACATTGCCCACATGCTGTTTTGGGACATGCAATACTTATTTCCTATTTAAATATTTGCATCTAAAGGCAGCAGGTCAGTCACAATAAGTAATGCAAATGCTACAATCACAAAACTATGTTTTTAATGTTTTGTAGTACCACATGCTTTGATTGTGAATGATACTGGTAAACCTTGCATTTTTAACCTAGAAAGATTTACCCCGTCTTCTTGGTTTAAGGTTGCGGTCGACTGGAGGAGGCTCAAGGTCAGGATCCGAAGGCGAAGGCAGCTCTGTTTTGCCGTTGGTGAGTAGGGAGATGGGCAGGGTGGAGGGGCTCATGGGTATGTAGCCGTCTGAAGTCACATCAGAACAGCTGATCGGTGGGGAGGCCATGGGCACATATGAATCCTCAGAGTGGTTTTCGGTAACTGTGGTATTCAGAAATATTGGCTAGAAATAGAGATACAGAGAGAAACACACTGACACATCTGGTTTCTGGCAGTGAATATTCAAATTGATGTGTATTTTCGGTGCCTGTTTAACTTTTTCCAGGCTCATTTTAGACAAAATGTTGTCAGTATTCGTTGCTAAGTGAATCCATGTTTATGAATGAATCGAGTGAGCCAATGATTCAGTAACTTGCTTTGTCTCTGAATGAATCAGTCTCATGAACGAATCGGTTGAATCGGACTGGATGACTTACTCATTAAGATGGTGACTTGGCACCACCTTGGCGGATAGTTTCATATTTAGAGTATCAGTTCATTAAAAAAAAATTATATCAATTTTAATTTTTAAAAATCCTATTAATGCCCATTTAAAACCCATTAATCTCATATCATTATGTATGCAATTCCAGTCCATGACACCTCTGAACAGTCTGTGTAAATACACCTAAATGTCACTCAAGATGCAGCTTCTAAAAACAACGTTATGGCCAAATTGTAGCCTTGAAAGTTTATGGGTAATAATAAATAATACTTTGAATAAAAATATTTCTTTCTAAGGCTATTTTTTGTAATCTCTATTCAATGCTTTTCTCATTTAACACAATAATGACTTTTATCTTTTTCTGAAAAAACAACAACAACAACAACACAAAACTGTTATTCAGAAATATTAGCTGGAAATCGAGATACAGAGAGAAACACACTGACACATCTGGTTTCTGGCAGTGAATATTCAAATTGATGCGTATTTACGGTGTCTGTTTAACTTTCTCCAGGCTCATTTGACTATTTTATATTTGAATATTTCTTTACCAGGTTGAGGCTTAGACGTTTGTTCCAGTTTCTTCCAGCATTTTCAAACTCTCCTGAAAACATGAAAGTACAATATTAAAATATATAACAAATACTATGGAAATGTTTTAATGAGAAAAAGGGGGATGCCCTGCATCCTATTTTCTCAATGAAATCCAATACTTGTTTCTAACTAATTTTACTGATTCCAAAAATAGTGTCTGTTTTGCTCTGGCATGTCACATTTTCATACAAAATATGATGTGCATTTTGTAGCATTTTCGAAAATTTTTGAAACCTTATATACTTGTGTTTATGTAAAGTTGACATTAAATGGTGTATTTGAAAACTTTTCCACTCCTTTGAATACTACTTTTTGTAAAGACAGAAACCAAAAAAACTAACAAAAAACCCCCATGAAACTTTTGACATTTGACTGCTTTTGTTATTTTGATAAGTGCATTTGTGAGAAATATTTGTATTTATTTTTGTGTGTGCATTCTCACCTCTCCTAAACTGGTCTATTCCTGAAAGTGACGTCCTGCGAGGGAGGAGAGCAGGTTGCGTCTGATTATGGCCGGTATCGTCATTAACATGGTGATCGGACAGGTGTGTAGGTTTGGGTGGGAGGGGAGGAGGCGTCTGTGGGTCTGATGTTCCGTAGAAGGGCCTGTCAAATCTGAAAATGTCCGGTGGACGGCGTAGAGAGATGGGAGATGAGAGGCAGGACGAAAGGGAGGAGGATAGAGAGAGTGGGCCACAGGGGGCGCTGAATGGGGGCTCGGGCACCCCACCCACAAGGAAAGGGGAGGGGGAGGAGTCAATGCGTGGGGTGGGGCTAAACACATCCTCTGTGTACTCAGACGAGCTCTGCTCAAAGGAGCGTTCAGAGTTAGAGATGCTGTCACACCTAGGGAAGGACAAACACACAGAGATAAGCATATAAGCACAAAACAATACTGACTAATGTCAACTAAATGTTATTTTTTTCAAAATAAAACCTGTTTAAACTCTTCTATGGAAAATATTTTTGGTTCAGAGAAAGCATATGGAAAATATGTGGTGTGTTGTGTCATAATGAAACTATTTTTTTTCTCACTTAGCCTTCGTCTACCAAATGAGTAATAATGATTTAGAAATCACAAATTTGCCTAACAAATTTAAAATTTGCTTTCATTTGAAACGCCAGAGGAAGACAAAAAAAAAAAAAAAAAAAAGTCCCTGAGAAAAAAGTCTATTTTGATTTGTGTATTATTATAAAGAAAATAAATGATGTATTTATAATTAGAAACACAATGATTTCTAATTCCAATTCATGTTAATGGTAACTAAAGAACTCGTCTAATTTTCAACAAATTTCCAGGAACATATACACTACCTTTTAAAATTTTGGTGTCAGTAAGAATTTTAGTTTTTTTAAGAAATTAACAGTTATATTCAGCAAGGATCAATTGATCAAAAGTGAGAGTAAAGATATTTATAATGTTACATTTCAAATAAAAGCTGTTTTTTTCTATTCATTAAAGAACCATTAAAATATGTAAAACAAACAAACAAATAAACAAAAAGGTTTTCTAAAAAATATTTAGTATCACAACCGATTCCAACTATGATTCTTGAACACCAAATCAGTATATTAGACTGATTTCTGAAGGATCGTGTGAAACTGAAGACTGGAGTAATGGCTGCTGAAAATTCAGCTTTGCCAACACATGGATAAATTACATTTTTAAAATATATTAAAATAGAAAAAAAATTTTGTTGCAGAAAACTGTGATAAACCTGCATAGTTGTTTCATTAATCAGCTATAACCCTCCATAATGATGCCTCAGTATTCAACACAAAACTGCATTACGAAAATTCTTTATTATTGAATCTAATCACTGTGTGTTATGCTGCAGTGACCAAGATCAAAAGATTTCACTGAAGCAAAAAGCGTGAGATATTTTCAGTTCTCATTTATTCTCTCAGTCACCTTTATTAAATCAGATGAAAGGAAAAGCCGATAGTCTGGCGCTACATGGAATGAATCTCATTTCCGTATTGAGATATATAATTATTATTTCTGCAATGTGTGATCATAAGAAATGGGGTGGGCCTTGCCTGACGATGCTCTTTGTGCCAGTTTCACACTGAGAGAGGAAGAGGTAGTCAAGTGGAGGGCTGATCTCTGATTCGCTGGGCCTGTCAAGGACATCGTGGTTTTCGACGGTAACTGTGTCTTGATTGGCCACAAGAGAAACATGAGGAGAGAGTGCTGGAGAGGGCTGCTGGGAAGAGGGAGTGAGATTAAGACTGTCCATTGATTCTGTCAAAAAGAAAGAGAGGGAGAGAGAGAAAGAGAGAGATTTGCTTTATAGGTTATCAGTACATTTTATCTTACGTCAAAAAAAATAAGTGCATTGTTTTCAATATTATTATTATTATTATCATTATTAATATCATACAAACATTGAGCAGTAATAATATGATGTTGATGGGATGATATTTTATATAAGGACGGTAATGGTTTAATGAAGATCATAACACTAAATATATATACCTAAAATATATAAATATAACTAAATCAAATCTGCACCCAACATACTGTATACCACACATGTTTTTAATGCACCGCATCCTGATTTTAATGCACCACACGCTTCTTTTAATGCACCACATCAGCTTAGGCATACATACATATACATATAGTAATCTTACCGTGAATTGGAAAGGAAAAAAACAAAAAACAAAACATTGACACAGAAGCTAGAATAGGTGTGGTATGTGTTGGGTATGTGTCATTATTACATTATTATTATTATTATGTGTCATTATTACATTATTACATTATTATTATTACGATTGTTATTACATTATTATTATTATTATCATTACTTTTATTATTATTGATATTACTGTTGCCGTCATCACAAGGTATTATTAGCATCACCATCTTTAGTATTATTATTATTATGCATGCTAGTACTACTTGAATACTACTACTATTATTGTCAGATGGTCATCACTGTTTATTTTCATTGCTGTTATTATCATTGCTGTTCTATTGCTGTTTTTGTGTTTTGTGTTCACCGTATGTTGTATGTTTTGCACTCTTAATAAAAAAAATAAAAAATAAGTGCAATAACCATACTTCACAAATTCAGTTTCTGAAGTACCTTTGCTTTTATTCCAGAAGGTGGCAGACCAAATCACCCCCTTCCAGCCCCCCACACAACACAACACAACCCACACACACACACACACACACATCTCTCTTTGTCTTCCTGTTTAGACTCAACAGTGTGTTAGTAGTGGGCAGATATTTCTAAACCACTCAGTCGCACAGATGAACACATGAGGCTCACGCCTGTTACACACATTGGAAGCACAAGACGCCTTTATAGTTGATTTTTTTGGGTGTAATCATTTCTCTTTTTAATAGTAAGCAAAAATATTTTTGGTAGGTGGAACTGAGTTGAAATAATTCAGATAAAGGTCGCTGTGGAATGTTTTGTGCCATTTCCATGGTCATATCTATGTGTGCTTGTGAGAAAGCGATTTGAGTGACACATCTCTCATTTTGGGAATTATTGTTGAGCAGGTTAATTAAATAGGCAATTTTAAATAATCAAAATAGTTTTAATTGCACATAAACAGAGGTGTCCAGTGGTGATCCAGTGTTTGGACGCCTGATATCACACTCAACCTGCTGGTGCTTGAAAGGCATTGTGAGTAATGCTGAGGTAATGTTGTGGGTAAACAGTCATAGATAACCGGCTTTTGATCACGTTGCAGCTAGCATGCTAATCTGAGGGGGATTGTGTGGGCTCACGTAAACATTGCTTCTTTGGCAGAGCCTACTATTGGGTATCCAACACTTGAATAACTGACAATGACTCACAACCTTTCTGTCAGAAGAGAATTCTGAGAGGCACCAGGCGTGTGGTTGTATTCATTTTTGTGATCCTAAATTTACTGTAAACATTTATAGGATTTTACTCAAATGTATAAGCCTTTTTGAAACACATCTTTTATAAAGATGCAGTGAGATGTGTTTTAATTATTATGTAGGGCTATTTTAACACCTGCAGTCCGAGGTTGCTATGGTAAAGGGATTCAGGAGAATAGAGCAGTAGTTAACAGTTGTCATGGTGATGGGGTTAAAGGGACAGTAGAGATACAATAAGTAGTTGTCATGGTGATGGGTCAGTACGAGTAGTTTAGTTTCTTATTTCTTATATAGCACATTTCTACTGCCTTCGGAGCAGAGTAGAGATAGAGTGAGTGACTGTCATGGCAGTGGTCAGAGAGACAGTGAAGATACAGTGAGCGTTGTCATAGTGACAAGTCAGTGAGAGTAGAGATACCGTGATGGTGATGGGTCAGAAGGATAATGAAGATATAGTGAGCTGTTGTCATGGTGACTCTCAGGTCAGTGAGATTACAGATACAGTGAACAGCTGTCATGGTGATGGGTCAGTAAGAATAGAGATACAATGAGCAGTGATATAGATTGAGTGTTTGTCATTGTGATGGTCAGAGGGACAGTGAAGATGCAGTGAGCAGTTGTCATGGTGACAAGTCAGTGAGAGTAGAGATACGGTGAACGAACAGGTATCATGGTGATGGTCAGAGGGATAGTGGAGATACAGTGAGCAGTTGTCATGGTGATGGTCAGAAGGACAGTGAAGATACATTAAGCAGTTGTCATGGTGACAGGTTAGAGTGAGAGACACTGAGAAGTTATGGTAACAGGCAGAGAGAGAGAGTAGAGATAGAGTGAGTGGTTGTCATGGTGATGGGTCAGAGGGACAGTGAAGATACAGTGAGCAGTTGTCATGGTGACAAGTCAGTGAGAGTAGAGATACAGTAAGCAGTTGTCATGGTGATGGATCAGAGGGTCAGTGAAGATACAGTGAGCAGTTGTCATGGTGATGGGTCAGAGGGACACTGAAGATATAGTAAGCAGTTGTCTTGGTGACAGATTAGACATATTGAGAAGTTATGGTAACAGGCAGAGTACAATACATATACAGTAAGCGGCGACAGGTCATGGTGTCAGGTCAGAGTAAGAGAAGAGATATAGCAGTGTTCTTTAACTTGTGGCCCCGGCAGAGATCAACATTTGAGTTTACAAAAGTTCACAGAAGCCTTGGTGTGACCGGACCCCACACTGTTTTTATCCAGCGTGTGTTCTGAGCATCTTGCACATGGCCTGAAGCGGGATCTGAAACTGCGGCTCTCCAGGTGTGACTACAATCTCTGATGTGTTCTTCTCTCACCCTGCTGTCCATCTGCCTCACTGCAAAATAGTCTGTTTGTAAGTAAAGAGCTGAGATCCAGTTCACAGCTGGAGTCCTGCTGGGGTTTGTAATGAGGTTAGCGGCTAAGCAGCGACTAAGATTTTATGTCTCCAAAAACTACACTCGCTATTTCAACAGTACGTCTGATAGTCACCTCTGGCCTCCATCTGAGACATGAACAACATGACGAAAGATGATAAATTAAGCCTTTTTTATCCTTGCATGTGTGTGGAGAAAAGGGCATAGACGTACCTGTTGTTCTGTATATAATAGCTTTATCTTTCACAATCGGCCTTTGCCAGTTTAGAGGCGTGTGCAACCGTCCAGCTTGTTGTGTATTAAACAGTAACCATGTGCGTGTGTGTCTGAAACCCTCCCAGCCGCTGTATCACTCATCTTTCTGTTATCTTTCCAAGTAATGTGTAACTTGTGGTTTCTCTCACTCTCTGTGTTTGGTATATCACATTAACCACGCTAACTGCTAACATTTTCCCCATGTGTCTTACATTATTCTTCCAGTTTTAACAAAAACATATTTCCTTGCTGTAATAGCAGTCATATGTGCTGTGGACACAGATTGTGACGCTGGCTGTTTGCTGTTAGTTAAATATATGGGATGCTACGTACTTGTGAGCTGTCTGTTATGACAGACGCATGTGTGTCTGAACACTCCTCTGTGACGCAGCTGTTGCTCTGCAGACTATTTGAAAGAGAGGAAGAGAGATGGAGGAATGGAACAGAATATTAAAATAAGACCTCGCCTAGATTACAGTGTCGTTCTCTCGCGGATTCTGTCTGCATCTCTCAGTCTCTGCATCTCTCTCTGGAGAAACGTCCTGTGGTTAATTATTTCCCAGGCTAGGTTTATTCATTTTAAAACTGCAGTTAGAGGAATGTAAGTATTTAGGTTAATGCAGGGATCTGATGTGGTGAAAGGGCTTTACGTACAAGGGTTTTTCCTGTTTTAGCTCATCTGTAGCACTTTCCTTTCTCATAAACCCACGCACAAACACGGTACGTATTTATTAACTGCATGTTTACTGCAGAGAAAGGTTAAATACTTTTAGTTTTAAGAATTAGTAGTTAGGTAGTTTTCTTTTTCATCAGTACCTTATTATTAATATTTTATAATATATAAATTATATATTTTCCTGTAATCCATTTTTTTTAGTGCCACCTGTCACTTGCTGAGGTACAAATAATTACTTATTTTTTCTGTTATTTATTTAGAAAATGCATATATTAAAAAAAAGTTTGTCATCAGAAAGATTTTTTTCTTAAAAAAAATAATACTTTTATTCAGCACGGATGCATTCAATTGATCAAAAGTGACCATTTACCATTTTTTTGTGGCTATTGTTTTGAACTTTATATACTTTTTTAAGGATCTTGAAAAAAGTGTATCATGTGTTTACACAAAAATATTAAGCAATATAATATATTAAACTACTATATTGATAGTAATAAATACGAAATGTTTCTTTAGCACCAAATCAACATATCAGAATGATTTCTGAAGAATAATGTGACATTAAAGATTAGAGTAATGACTGCTGAAAATTCAGTTTTCACATCACAGGAATGCATTACATGCATTTTATTTTTCAATAAAATAAAATAAAATAAAAACAGCTATTTTAAATTGTAATCATATTTCACAACATAACTGTTTTTGCTGTATTTGGATCAAATAAATGCAGTCTCTGTGAGCACAAGTTATTTAATTTAATGATAAAACATTATTATTATTATTATTATTATTATTTTATAATTTACTGGACAAATCTGCATTCATTCTCACATTCTCATTGTCACATTCTCATGTAAAATTAAAAATTAAATGCAAACCCTTGTGCTAATGTTAATGTGTAGTGTTTTGCATTGACAAATAGGGGGGAATGAAGTCAAAGTTTCTGGAATCAGTTGATCAGAGTCATGGACTGCTCATACTTCAGAGAAATAGTAAGATAATTTTGATAGCATGATGATAACGTAAAGGTAAAGCAAAATGACTGCAGGACTTTGACCCAACTGTGACCCAACTGACACTATGAGAACTTTATCAGAGGCTACAATTCATCAAAAAAGTGAGCTAGTGAGCATGTCATACTAAGCGTTTCAAGTCTTGAAAACAAAGTAAAACTTTTATAATAAACCTCCTCACCTGCATGTCTGTTCAGTCCTCCAAACGTACAAATCTGTCCAATGTTCTGTACCCAGATGTTCATCTCTTCTGCCGTTTTGGCCAGCAGGTAAAAGATGCGTGTGGCTGTCTTGACCACAAACAGGTGCTGATTCTGATACTGGCGTTTAATGGGCCGCACTTCTGCCTCGATGGTGACCTCGCACTCTTGCAGGTCGATGGTTCTGATTGGTTTCCGGGAGCTCTTGCTACGGTAATATTCCAAAACGTCAGGATTCCCGCTCATCCGACCCCTCCGCAAAACAAACCATCGCTTTCGCCATGACTGAGAGAGAAAGGGACAGAGAGCGAGAAAGAGAGGGGAACAGAACTGGATTAACATTGAAAGCTGTGTGCACTCACACAGGTTAGCAATCAAGTCAAAAAGTCTCCTTAGATCTTGTCTTGTTTTCAGACTGCAAGCATTCACTCTTCACATGAAAGCAACATTTGCCACCATTTATATCTTGACACATGTTGGTTTTGATTGGTATTATTTTGAACAATTCATCTGTGCACATTATTCCAAAGAAAATAAATATTTGTCTTTATAAACGTAAATAATTCAAAATCAGTTTTGTTAACTAAAACTATTAAAGTTGTTATCATTAATTGAAATAAAATTCAACTTAAACGAAAATGTGACTAAAATAAAACAAGTTTAAGTCAACCACCAAAAAAATTACTAAAACTGAAATTAAGATGAAGCTTAATAGAAATATATATATAAAAAAAAAACTAATAAAAAGTTAAAAAGAAATAAAATAAAATATAAAAATAAAAGATAATTCAACATTTTAATAATTAATATAATAGTATATAAATAATACTAAAATAACACTGATAAAAATATACTAAATTCCTCTGAAACAAATGTCCTTTTCCACTGATGTCACTAAGGCTGGCTATTGGATAATGTTAACGAATATGTAATCGGGCAGGACTGAATAATTATTACAAATTATATATAATTACAAATAAGACTTGACACAGTGTCAATTTTCACACCATGCAAGATCTGTTCAAATTAGTGGTCGACCGATATATCGCCAAGGCCGATATATCGGCCGATATTTGGCATTTTTCAAATATCGGCATCTGCCGATAAGTTTTTCTGTTTGGCCGATGCGTTCGAGGCGGGACTTTTATTTTGAGCGCACACCGCTCACATTCTCCCTCTTGTTCGCTGTCGTCGTTCAGTTCTGCCAACTGAGGAGCCAATTTCATTGTGCAATAGTCTACACACAGTAATGAAAACAGCTTGATTTATTTTAACTTAAAGTGAAAATGAAACTCAAGGAGCATTCGATGAAATTGCAATAGAAGTAAACGTTGATCATTACAAGAGTTCAGTCATTGCAGAAATGAATGGGTCTAGATTGATACATTTGTGGTGTTTGTATAAGTAAGTTTGATTCATATAATTTCCCTTATTTACCCAATATAACATTTCACACCATTGTTGTCCCTTACCAAGCGTAACTGTGGCAAGGCTAGTGTAAATGCAAGAACAAACTTACAGATAAACTTCTATCAAAGCTGGGCAGGGTGTGGTCTGCAGTCAGAGATGACTTACATACTTACTCTTCAAGAAACACACACAGATTAATCTCAGAGCAGAAACAGGTTGTACATATTCTTACAAGAAGTAAATAATCAACACTTACACACAAAGTCAATCAGTATAAAACTCCTGGCTTTACCAGTAACTAGAAATCCAGTTTCTGCACTGTAATCAGTTCCAAAAACATGGTTATTAGATGTATTAAGTTGTTATTCCATTAAACAGTTATTAGGCTATTATGTCATCATGAGGTAATTAGGTTAATATTAGCATATGAGGTAAATGCATATACTTTAGGTTATAAGGTCATTATGTCTGATTATTTATTATACAGTCTATGTGTTATTAAGGGTTTTGTCCTTTTTTTTTTTTTTTGCTCTGTTCTATTAAGTGCAAGCAGTACCTGCCTCAGGTGAAATCTGGAAATCTGTCTTTCAGAAAATTCTCCTATGCATGTGACTTTCCATTTTCAATGATGTAACAGAAACTATCATAGAAACTACTGCAGGGAAGAGAATGACAGGGAATAGAGAGAAAGTGGCAGTTCTTTTGTAGTCCCCAGTTAACTCATAGTTTCTCTCTCCTTCTCGCTCTTTTTCTTGTTGAATACTATAACCCAAAAAAGATAAAGAAAGTAGGGGCACCATGCACTGTTTTGAGGGGGCACCAGTGGTTCACTTTATATGCTAGGCAAGATAAACAGAAAATAAATAAATAAATAAAAACTATTAAAACTATTACTTGTTAGTCAACATAAAACATATACAGTATATATATATTATCTCTGATAAATTGATTTTAGTTTTTTAGGAATTGATATATGACAGTAAGGTGAACTACAGTTAGAAAGCCAAACTGACCATCAGATGTGGCACCAAAAACCCACCTAAAACCCAAATCAAACAAGCTTGAGAAACAAACACCATCTGTCATTGCCACTAACTTATAGTCCAGTTGGACTAGATCCTTATTCCAGTGAAAGAAGAGAAAGTTCAGCATTTTTGCATGGCCTTAAGGTTGCACACATGCTTTTAGTGTAACAGCCTCGATCCTGAATGTTCTGAAACCATCAGCAATTTGTACGGTCTGTTTTGCTTATGTCTGACAGCATTCAGTTCTCTGTTGTGTCAAGTTAAAGTGTCTTTGTTCACTTAGTTGCTGTTTTCTTTCTGTAACCAAGATTTCACCACAGCAGTCAGCTGTTACACAGCACCTGACGGTAAAGATATCACACACAGGCCTCCAAGAATCTAAATAATCTAATTAACACACCAGCAGGGGAGCGTCATTAAGATCTCTTGAGAAACAAGACCAGTTTTCTGAGCATTTCTCTATTTATGTTCAATTCATTCTGAAAAAATAAGCTTCTTTCTTACAGCAACATTTTAAAAAGACCACAGTCTCACACTTGTATCATCAGGAAGACCCTGACTTCCTCCCTTGAGTTTTTGTTTTTTTCAGATGTCCAATATGATCTAAACAAATACATGATGGGTAAGAAAGCCGTAGAGCTGCAGGATTTCGATCCCTCTAGCATCACAAGACAAACTCTCTTCCTCTTCTTTGAGATCCAGACTAAGTGCTGACATGAGTCCTGAGAGCCATTAAGCATGAAGAGGCCAGAAAAGACTTCTATAATTACTTTGGTCTTACAGCCAACTTTTTATCCAATGTGACTCATAATACTCTTACAGTACTTCCAGGAGTGTCATGTCTATTAAAATACAGGGGACATATGGCACCTCACATTTTTGAGACAAGAGGATTTTGAATGCAATCAATCAATTAATCAATCAGTCAATCAATAAAGGGTTAATTGTAAATATAAAGTGAGAAATCATTTGTTTAGTCTGATGGAAGACACACCTTCCATAGATCATTTGCTTCTGAAAATCTAGTCGCTCCAAACATATAACTTTTTCCTGTGGAACAGTTTCGGAGCTATTTTAAAAAACGTCAAAGCTGTTCTTTTCCATAAAACAAAACAACAAAAATATACATTGATCACTGGCTGGCAAGTTCAATGGGAGTTTTCCTTTATTTAAAATATATATTAAATTAAAAATAAATAATAATAATTAATAATAATAATAAGGTATTTTGGCTATTATGCTCATGCTTTCAGCTGTGAATACGAATATACTGTAGTGCATCTATTTTACCACATTTAAATTAATTCCACAGACTGAAAGAAACAAAAAAAAGCATAGACTAACCGGGTATCTGAACCTTTTCATAATATACTGTAAGTGTTTTTTGTATCACTAAAAAAAATGAACCACAGCTGATCACTTATAAAAATGGCCACAAACACGTCCTTAAAAAGTAATCACATCTCATTCATTTTACACGCAAGGCATGCACAGAAGACACACAGTAACTGTTTTTGCTTAAAAACTGCTTACAAGGCAAAAGTCTCCATCTTTGTGGTATTTATGACACAGACATGTAAGAAAGCTGGCAAAGGGTGACAAAGTTGGTATATGTTACCGTGAAACCTAAGCAATTTCTCAGTTATTAAACTTTTTTTTTTTAAAAGCCATAAAAGTTTGATTATTAGCACTGCTGTACTGTGAAAAAAACAAAACAATTTGAAAACACTTCCTTGTTTTTAAACAGCCTTGAATGTATGTGGAGAGTTACAAAGCGCAAACCAACAGACACTGATTTAAACAGTTATCTTTTACAATTCTTTTATCTTGAGTGACTAACGAGTCTTTGTGTGTGTGAATTTCACTAAACCACATACGTTACCCTTCCCGTGTCTGAACTGTTTTTCTACAGAATTTGTCAGAGACCACAAGTTGTTCTGGGCATGCTCAGAACAGCAGGGTCAGGCCATGGCCTTGATTTACCTCTGTCGCAAACAAAGACCTTCTCTCTATTCTTTCTTTTGGAATGGTTATATTTTCTTCCCCTTATTCATGCGTGTTTTAGTCAAAGAGAGGAACTAGAGCTACATTTTCCCAGAACCCTTCACAGAAGGGAAGTCTAAAACTGGCCTAAACAACACCAACACATTCATGTTTGCGTGAATGTGTTTTTATGTGTTTATGTGCACAGGTAAATTGAGTAAATGTATCATTCATGTTTGCGTGAATGTGTTTTTATGTGTTTATGTGCACAGATAAATTGAGTAAATGTATCTTTCATGTTTGCGTGAATGTGTTTTTATGTGTTTATGTGCACAGGTAAATTGAGTAAATGTGTCATTCATGTTTACGTGAATGTGTTTTTATGTGTTTATGTGCACAGGTAAATTGAGTCCGTATGAGTTTGTCTACATGTGTTTGCAGCATATATCCGTAGTTTGGTCTGTGTAGTTCTTTTTAGATGGAGATGCTAAGTAAATGTGAATCTAAACTAACATTTAACAATGTGTTTTGTTTTCTTCCTAGGGGTAACAACAAAGAGTAAAGAGTAAATGTTTTCGTTTTGCGCAAACAAGTAACAATAGTCTTGATGAAGTCTTTGTATTTATGTATAGGTCTATCCACCTTATTTTGCAAAATGGAAGTGTAAGCTATTTTCTTTGAATGTGCAGACTTTCGAATGATTAGCCTTTAAGTAAATAACTAGAAGAAAAACTGCAGTAAGCGGTAAAACGATTTGGGTTACAAACTAGTGTGTTTATGATTATAATACATTAAAATAATATGATAACAAAAACTAGTATGCAGTATAAAGCAGCATAACAGACTGTTTTTCTGCACCTTCACACA